ATAATAATAGAAATAATAATAAGAATATGGCATTTTTTAAAGTGCCTAATCCCCTGAATTATATAAGCACTGTATCATGTAATGATTTTATTTTTAAACTTTTTCCCTTCCAGAAGCCACAGGAACCCCCTGAGTAACCTGACCCAGTCTGGCGTGGGTCCGGCCACTAACCAAAGCAGCAACGGCACGGCCGCTGGCCTCTTCCCTGCCTCAGACAGCAAGGTGAGAAGAGCAAAATACTGTGTAGTGTGTATGTGTGTGGTGAACACACACACGTAGAGAAGCAAGGTGAGAGTAAAATACTGTGTAGTATGTGTGTAGAGAAACATGTACATAGGGAACACACTCGTAGAGATACGAGTACATAGCCAGCAAGGTGAGATCAAAGTACAGTGTAGTGTGTATGTGTGTGGTGAACACACACACACGTAGAGAAGCAAGGTGAGAGCAAATTACTGTGTAGTGTGTATGTGTGTGGTGAACACACTCGTAATAGAGAAACATGTACATAGGGAGCACACACATAGTGAGATACGCATATTGGGAATGTGCTCATTGTGAAACATGCACAAAGTGAACATACATATTATAGGGACACACGCATGCACATAGGGGAACATGGGCATAGGGACACACGCATGCACGTAGGGGAACATGGACATAGGGACACACGCATGCACGTAGGGGAACATGGACATAGGGACACACGCATGCACGTAGGGGAACATGGACATAGGGACACACGCATGCACGTAGGGGAACATGGACATAGGGACACATGCATGCATATATGGGAACATGCATATATGGGAACGTGCATATATGGCAACATGCATATAGGAAAACATTAATGTTCGTAGGGAAATATGCACATAACGAAACATACATACAGGGAAATATGCACATAACGAAACATACATATAGGGAAATATGCACATAACGAAACATACATATGGGGAAATGTGCACATAACTAAATATACATAGAGGGAAATGTGCACATAACGAAACATACATAGAGGGAAATATGCACATAACGTTCACACACATTGTAACAAAAAACTGCCACACCCCAGCCAATCCATCTTAACTTCTATAATCAAACAGTAACTTTAACTTAAATACTTGAATCCTTCATTTTGTTCCCATTTTGGTGTTGATCTTATGCAGACATGTAGAGAAGGAGAGGAGTTGTTACAAAATTCGCAATGCTCAGAACTTGGATGACAAACCTGGCTGTGTACAAAGGAGGAATAACCTACCATTTACTACTACTATTAATAATAATAATAGACTGCTTTTATATAGCACTCTGTCCCATGCGAGTGTAAGCTCGGAGCGTTTTACATCAATCACATGATAACTGAAAAGTAAAAATTCCTTCACACAGGATAAAATATTTCACAGTGACAAGAAAAACCAAAGCAATACAGCCACATAAAGAAGAAGCCTCACAACCATACAGTAATTATATATAAAATTATATTATAAAAACAAAACATGTCAGCGCTTACTAAAACATAAGAATTAAACAAATGAGTCTTGAGCAATCGCTTAAATGTTTCAAGATTTGTTATATCTCTAAGATCCTGGGGTAAGGATAATTTTACAGTTAAGGAAGTATGATTCTATTGAAGTTTAGAAATTTTTGCGTTTACACTCATCTTATGCTCAATAAATGAAAATGTATCTACAAAATTTCTTTCCAGCTGCACTGTGATATAGATCTGGAGGAGAGGAGGTGTCGACCTTTCCGCAAAAACTCCAGCAAGGTCATTTCCCACGATCCTCCGCAGTACGAGGTTGGCAGCGTAGCCGGACACGCTCACGGTGTCATGTTGCCAAGATACAAGAAGGAGCCCGTGGAAAATACTGAGACGGTTGGCAACTTGGGTAAGCCAAAATTATTATAACGAGGACTTTGCATTTGAGTAGGCAATTTACAGCACTTGCAACACTATAAGGTCATATTAAAAGTGCCGAAGATAAGAGCTGTTACTTTACATTTTAGGAGGAGATTTACAGCACTTGTAACACTATAAGGTCATATCATAAGTGCTGAAGATTAGAGGTGTAGCTAGAGAGTAACATGTTAACAAGAAGGGAGAGGAGATTAGGATGATAGATGCTTGATCGGAAAGAAGGAGCAAACCACACCAGAGCACCTGCTAATCATCCTTTTACTTTTACAAATAGAAGTTTGAAAAACAAGGCTCAATTTGGTATTGGTAGTTCTCAAGGGCGATGTTGGGAACAGAAGGAACAATAATAACAACAATGATAATAATAATAATAAGAAGAAGAAGAAATTACACTTCTATTTGTCCCAGAAGGGCAATTTGGTTTACAATGGCAAACATACCTACATAACTACATAATTTTAAGCATGTACATGCATCAATACATGCATAAATACATACATAAATACACAATATTGCACAAATACAGAACAGTTTACAACAATGCCACTGTCGGTCGCCACTGTACAGCGCCCTCGCCCTGTATTTTGAGCTAGGGTTGTCGTGTCTTGCTCAAGGACACACCCCAGTGACCACCCGTCTGATCTAGGAGGGGCACAGGAAACAGAAGAACTCACCATCTCCCCAAAGACAATCCTGTACATGGCTGTCTGTGGTGTAGCGGTGACGTGCCTTGCTGTGGCATGCTGGAGACCCGAGTTTGAGTCCTGAGTGGGGAGAAGATACACCTACTTTCATTTCAGACAAAATTTTCTTGGAGCGGGGAGAGGAACACGTATGGCAATGCCCAGAGTACTGGGATGTTGATCCCAGGATCAAGTACTCAAGTAGAAAAATTAATTTTTAAAAATTTCAGTACCGGTTCCGTAATAATAATAATAAATGACATTTATATAGCGCTCAACCCTGAATAAAGTACACAGGTTCTGAGCGCTTTACAATGCAGTACAACGTACAACAGTAACATAAAACGTTGCGTTCTGACTAAAACTAAAAGAAAATCACTACAATTATTCATCTTATTAATTTAAAAACAGAGACGTTTTCAGCTGACATTTGAATGAATCAAAAGATTTAAGATTTAATCTCTCTTAAAGAGAGCTTTGGTAAAGCATTCCAGATCTTAGGGCCTTAGTATTCAAATGCCCTTTTCACCCATTGTTTTAAGTTTCATAGATGGTAAAATAAATTTCTTTTTGTCAGCTGTGTGATTAGTTCACTCAACATTTTCTGACGTCTTTTTTCAGGGCTCTACATCGTCTTCTTCCTGATCGTCATCTCATCTCAAGCGACCGTTGCCGTGCCGTTCAATGCGCTTGTGGCTGACAAGTCCCACCCATCGCAGAGAGGTAGTCAGCGTAATGTGTGGTGTGAGATGTGTGATGTGTGTGTGTGATGTGTGATGTTTGTGAAATGTGATGTGGGACGTGTGATGTGTGTAGTGAGATGTGACCGATGTGTGATGTGAGATGTGACCGATGTGTGATGTGTGATGTGTGATGTATGATGTGTGATGTGTGTGTGTGTGGTGTGTGTGTGTGTGGTGTGTGATGTGTGATATGTGGTGTGTGATGTGTGATCTGTGATCTGTGATGTGTGTGTGTGATGTTTGTGAAATGTGTATGTGTGGTGTGTGATGTTTGTGATAGGGATAGGAGATTATACCAGGGACAGATGAGGGGAAAAGGATAGGGGATGGAGTTAATGGCATTTTATTTGATAAGCTGTTATCATTAGGGTTGTTATTATTGTTACTATTATGATTGGTTTCTTTTTTATCATTATAATGATATGTATGTATTATGACTATGATTATTGTTATTCTTATTTATCATTATTATTATCATTATTGTTATTATTACTATTATCATATGACTATAACTTGTACCGTATTAAATGTTTCTGGATAACACACCTCCATTCTTTAAGTTTTCATCCCAAACTTACGACTAAGTAATCCTAGACTGAAAAGTTCTCTGATTTATTTCCCTTTCAGGATTCAACTCTGGGATGATGGGCGCAATGATCTTGCTTGGCAACGTATCGGGTGCTGCGGCTGGCATTGGCTTCACTGTAAGATTGATTGGAAAAATTTCTTTTGCTTAACTCTTTATCATCGGCATGCGCCTTGCAGTCGGAACAACTGTGCCGGTGAGCTGCTGACAGCGGCTCGGGCACATTCCTTTACGACGACTTTCACATCAAATTACTCTTCGGCAGTTGCCGAAAACAGGTCTCTTTTATCGGGAGTTCATTCATTAGATGAAGAACTATCAAAATAGGTTCATTTGTTTTGATTTAATCCCCAATTTAGTGACGATTTTATCATTTTTAAAGTTCGCACCAAAAACGGGCCCCAGCATAGTGGGTTTACCTCCCTCGCAGATAAAGAGTTACCGTAACCTACAGCCGGCACTCTATATTTATCTGAGGCGTGCTGTGAAAAATGAAGTTACTTCTCGCAATCCGCAGATCTAGATATCAGCTGAAAACTGACACAGGGTTCAAATGTGTACATTTTCAACTGATGCCACTCTCTTCAAGTCTAATATCTTTTATCATTTCGTTCTAAAAAATTGTACAAACTCGACCTTCACATAGCTATATCCATGGGCTGAAGTCCAAAAAGTAATTCATTTTGTCAGAACGTCTCACAAATTTCTCATTGCCATCCTTTGGATTTCAGCCACACCATTTCAATCTGTAGGCCTGTTTAAAAAAGTTACAGTGACAACATGATTGGAATAATATACATTAGAAAGTGTGTAAAGTTTGCTGTTGAGTGGGGTTATGTGCTATATAAATGCGACATTATATTATTCGTATTGTTATTACTATTATTATTAGTATTTTTATTATTATTGTAAAGCGCGCAGAGTTCACAGTTGAGTGGGGATCTGCACTATCTAAAAGCAATTATTATTGCCATCATTAGGCCTATAAATTGCTTAGAATTTGCTACTGAGCAGGGATAGGGGCTATACAAAAACCACTTTTGTTATTTATTATTTTTACGCTCCCGTTTTAACTCTTTGACTTGATCGTTCCAGCGCATCTCACATATTTCTCATTGTCATCATCCCCTGGGTACCAGCCGCACCATTTCAATCTGTATTTTAACAAGTTACCATGACAACATCATTGTAATAATATAGATAGTAAAGCACATAGAGCTTGCTATTGAGCAGGGATAGGGGCTATACTGTTATGTTACGACTTACTTGAGTCTTGCAGTAGTAGTTCTAGATGGCAGTTGATGTTGGTGGGGCCCCACCTTCTGGTCTTCTGCTAGTTCTTGGTTAGCCGATGTTACTCGTTTCGGCTTCAGTGAGTGAGTGACACTTAGATTACCTGCGGCTTGCACGAGGTGTCAGTCACACGATATGTCCTTTAGGTCGTTCGTCACAATAACTGTTATAAAGGTGCGTTCAAACTACATGTCCTATTCTAAAGGTGCGCTTACACCACATATACTAAAGACATTTTATTACATATCATTTTTACACTCCAGTTTTAACTCTTTTTACGTGATCGTTCCAGCGGATCGGAGTTCTCAGCATGTATGCCATCATCATTGGTGTGCTGGTTGTGTGCGTGCTCATCACCACGTTCAGCATCACTGAGGCGCAGGCCAAGCCCGACAGGAAGGCGGAGCCAGTCAGTGAGTTTAGCAGTCCGAGGATTGTCCCTTGTCGTTTTTGGTCGATGATTAAAATTTAAGAAGATTATTATTTCGTTGGATTTTTTTTGTTTTAATTTTAAAGAAATGATGTGCTTAGAAAGAAATTCGGTGTGCGGTGGATGAAGTATACATATACACACACAAACACACACACACACACACACACACACACACACATGTTTTAATTATAAAGAAATGTTGTGTTTAGAAAGAAATTTGGTGTGTGGTGGCTGAAGTATATAAACACACACACACACACACACACATACATGCGCGCGAGCACACATACACACACCCATGTACGTGTGCACTCACATGTACGCACACACGCACATACACTCACACAAACATACGTGCATGTACACACCTACACACACAAATGCACACACATACGCATACACACTTACACAGGCACAGAAAGAAACACACACACACGTACACACACACATGTTTGTACACGGAAAGCAGATATTCTGTTCTCTAAATTGCACAAGGGGACTATCCCTAAAAATGCTGTTTTGAGATAATCGAAGGTAAAGTTTTTGCCCCTTGTTCAGTTTCTTTAAAAGACAAGGAGAGTTTTCTCTATAACCAAACAAATATACACACCAATGAAACCAAACTTGTCCTATTTGTAGGGCAATGCTCACTTTTGGTGTAGGTCAAGGTTTCTGGAAACCCCCGAAATCTGGATAGCCCGCCTGTCCTTAAAAGTGACCATTTATGTGTCTCTGTCAGTGTGGTCATAATATACTGCTGGATTTTGGATGTTGAATGAAATGAATTTTTGAATACGAAAACGAGTATACAAGTCTTTCAATCGGTAGACCAGTTGATGGAGAATGCATGTACATTATTTTTTCTTGATCTTGGCATGAATTGAAGGAGACTTTCATTAATCTTGTCTTGAGATTTTGTCTTTTTGCTTTTTTCAGCTTGCAAATCTGTGTTCCTTGGATTTTGGACTCCTCTAAAAGGTCAGACAATGTTCCACACTTTTGTGAAAATAGTAAAGAATACAAACACTCTTGAGGCTAATTTAGAAAGTTTCCGTGGTACAAATCCTGACAATTTTTCGTGCTTTCGGGAGAACAGAAAATTTACTCCAAAGCTAATTTAGAAAATTCTGAGACTATAAATTCAAAGTTCCGTGATTTAAAAAAATAAAAAAAAAACTACATGAGGTAAATTTAGAAAGTTTTGAGAGTATGTGAATTCCTCCAGCTGATGTTTGAAAAATGAACCGTATACGGTGCAGACTGAGGCCATGTTGTAATACTTAGCTCTGATCTAAACAGAACATTGAAAAATAATGTACTCCAAAAGTACATGTTTAACACCTTTCACCAAACCTGAAGAGTCAAAACTTGCCTAAATATTTTAGGTCCATGCAGAAAACACAATAATTATTATTGGGTAAGGAAATTTAGAAATTAATATTCTCTTTTACCTTAAAAATCATAATCATAAATATCATAATTACCACTCTTTTTGACATCACCAACAAATGCTGAATGTAAAAAAAAGCTCAGCACGTTCTTTTCTTTTCTTCGCTTAAAAAAAAAAAAAAGATTTTATTTGTAAAACTTGTTGGAGTGTCTAATATGTGGTTTGAATTGCAGCTTCAATATTGAATTGTTTTGTTTTAAGATATCAGTTGCTTAGTTTGGTGGTAGGAAGAATTGTAAATGATACAGGAAACATGTGAGAAGCTTATTTTCTCCAGTACCAACTTTAAATTATTTTTTTATTTTGAAGTTGGGGCACATTCAGTTCTAATTATTGTTTATGGATATCATGGAATATGAGGAATGGTATTTTGTTATAAATAATTTTCGTGCAGTTGATGGATGCTTTGTGATACTATTAAAGCTGTTTTTAATTGTAAGGATTTTACTTGTTAGAATATTATTTAAAATCTTTTTTTCCCGCTGTGTGTTTGATACTTCAGAGCACGACTTCCGATGGGTGTTCATCACCAGATTCCTCATGCAGCAAGGAGTGGCCACTATAACAGGGTGAGTGACCTTATACTGGCTTCTAGTTGTGCTCTTTTCTTAACTTTTTTCAAACATGAAATGAACATTTTATGCTTTGATGTCGGATTTCTGGCTACTTTTTTGTCACCACAGATTCGTCAGAGTTGTTTGGATCTCAGAGAAAAATGGTGTTCTTAGGTGGAAGTCTTGGGTAATCTGTATGTTATTTTATTATATTTGTGAAAGTCCGACACTTTCGCAGCCTATAACTTCGGAACCACATTAACTTTAAATTTGACAAAATTAAATGTGGTTCAGAATCATTTAAAGGTTGCACAGTTTTACTGAGGAGTCTGAAGTCACTGTAGCTTAATTTTCAGTTTTAAAAATTAGTTTCGTGTAGATGTAATTTTGGGAAAGTCCGTCTTCTAAGACGGCATTGTAAACAAGTGAGGCTTCCGTTCAAAAGCAGTGTCGTTACAATATTAAAAGAAACACGCAAGGGGAATGGAAAGTGGCCACATGGACAGGTGATTGTCTATAAGTCTGTTGTTTACTAGTCGGCAGAAGATCTAATCAGAGACTTTTGAATTTGTTATTTAATCATTTCATCTGTCTTACAAACAGTCCCAAGTGTATTGGTAGACAGACCCGTCCTGCACTGGGAGACTTAAAAGAGGTTCTAGAGCTGGGAAGACAGTAGATATGATGTGTGGAGGAGGAGAGAAATTCAGTCAAACCTGCTCTAAAGGCCACCTGACCAAGACAATCAACTGTGCAAACAGCCTCTTCCCATTTCCCTCCTGTGCTTTTTTGTGTGCATTACAATAGGCCTTATATTATCCAGACATCCATGGGTGGTTGGTGGGTGGTCTGGTATGGTTTGCTCCTTTCCTATCAAACATCAATCGTCCTGATGTTTTCATTCTTTTTTGTGTTTGTTACTCTCTTGTAACACCTTTAATCTTCGGCACTTATATGATCTTAATGTGTCCCAAGTGCCGTAAAACTGCTACTAAAACTAAAGTCCACTTAAGAATCCCATTTTTCTCTTTGGCAATATGTGGCCGTCTTGGACAATTCAACTGTACCATTGGATTTTACTTGATCACTTACTTGTTCCATAGTGTTACGTATGCTTATACAACTTATGCTTACGAGCTGTTTACTTTCCATCTCTTGGACAATTATACTGTACGGCACTACGCGACTTTACTTCATAGATTAATTGTTCCATAGTGTACAATTCACGGATCTTTGTCGAGATAACAACAAATAATAACTGATGACAACAAATTACAACTGATAACAACAAATAACAACTGATGACAACAAATTACAACTGATAACAACAAATAACAACTGATAACAACAAATAACAACTGATGACAACAAATAACAACTGATAACAACAAATAACAACTGATGACAACAAATTACAACTGATGACAACAAATAACAACTGATGACAACAAATTACAACAACAAATTTCAACTGATGACAACAAATTACAACAACAAATTTCAACTGATGACAACAAATTACAACTGATGACAACAAATAACAACTGATGACAACAAATCACAACAACAAATAACAACTGATGACAACAAATAACAACTGATAACAACAAATAACAACTGATGACAACAAATAACAACTGATAACAACAAATAACAACTGATGACAACAAATAACAACTGATGACAACAAATAACAACTGATAACAACAAAATAACGACAAATATCAACACATACGTCCTAATTTAGTTGTTTTTTTCCCAATAAATTGTTACTTTCGATTTTATTTTTTATTTGAATGTAAGCCAAAAAAAAGGGGACGCAACTCCGGTCATCGCTAAAGAATATTCTTCTTCTGATAGTTGCTCGGAGTTGCGCACGTAAAATAGGGGCCTGGTTGATCCCATGAATATTGATATTAGAGGCTGGAATCAAAGTATTTTTGTGTTATCAGTTGTTATTTGCTGTTATCTGTTGTCATTTGTTCTTATCAGTTATAATCAGTTGTTATTTGTTGTTATGTCAATGAAGATAAATACCCTACAATTCATGATTATGAGCTGTTTACTTCAGGAGGTTGTACAATGAGCGTATGTTTTTTTGTCTGTGCCCAGGTTCCTGGAGTACTGGCTCAACGACATGATTCCTCTGCCCAACTGCATGGCGGCCACGACCGCTGTGGCCATGTTGCTGCTGCCCCTGCTGTTTGCCGCGGCTGTCAGGCAAGTTTGTTTGTTGGTGGTTAAGTTATGTTCAGAGCTAGTTTATGGTGGTTAAGTTGTGATCAGAGCTAGTTTATGGTGGTTAATTTATGTTCAGAGATAGTTTATAGTGGTTAAGTTGTGATCAGAGATAGTTTATAGTGGTTAAGTTGTGACCAGAGCTAGTTTATGGTGGTTAAGTTATGTTCAGAGATAGTTTATAGTGGTTAAGTTATGATCAGAGATAGTTTATGGTGGTTAAGTTATGATCAGAGATAGTTTATGGTGGTTTAAGTTGTGATCAGAGCTAGTTTATAGTGGTTAAGTTATGATCAGAGCTAGTTTATGGTGGTTAAGTTATGATCAGAGCTAGTTTATAGTGGTTAAGTGATGACCAGCACTCATGCACGTTATAAGCGGTTATATTATAATAACATTATAAGTTTCAGATTAGGATCCATAATATGTAGGGGGTTGTCAGAATGCCATCCATGTTGAAGGGCAGACTGCTTCGAGGTACAACTCAGGTCGTATTGTCAGCATCGTTCCACAATTTCCCCCAAGTCGATTTCTCCGGGAGTTTCCTGAAAAAGACTATTATTCAAATAAAGACATTGTGTGACATCTTACGATATAGTTAGTTTCTATTTGTTTCGTTATTTCCTTCCTGGTTTTTAAATTAAATGAAAAATATTGAGTGCTTACGTTGTGGTTCAGATGTAGGCACTCCTTTTTTCTTAAATTTTCTGAACAAATAGAAAAAATGGCGGAAGCGCCTGTGGATTGACGCAAACGATAATGATACCCTGTTTGATAATTAGTTTTTCCCGCTTTTCTTACAACGCTTGTTTTGTACTTCACAGCTCCATCATATTTGGCGTTGTCTCCGACAAGACAGGGTATCGCAAGATCATAGTCACTATAGCATGTAAGTTTTGCATGTGTGTTTGTCTTTACACACTTCTCCCTCATGCTGCTGTCTTCAAAGACAATGTCATTTTAATTTATGGTGAAGTAATAGTTGATCCTTTTTCTTTTTGTTCTTGTCTCGGTTCTCATAACCTTCTAGAACACCTTTGCTATATACATGTATGTAGCTTGTTTGATTTTATATTTTTCAAATAAATAGTTGAGTAGGAAGAAAATTCTTATCACGCATCTCACCCAGTCTTTCAGCTGGGATATTGAATCTCTCTCAGCCTGAGTTGGCTCAGACAGGCTAGATGGGACCTAAACTGTGTCAATGCAGGTGTAAAAACACCTACAATAAACAAAAAATTAAACAGTGTCCTTGATCTGATCTTGAATGTACTGTGGTACACTTTTGACCAATATAGCTGAGTGTGTTGTGCAGTTTTCGTATTTTTAATCCTGGACGAAATGAAAGACAACATTACGTTGTTCATTATTTTCACGTTTATGTCGAGTTTTCTTCTTTTTCATTTTAAAATTTGATAGACCTGTTATTTCTTTTAAGACCAGGAAGCCTTTATTACACAAGAAAGCTACACCACATTAAACACTTCATTTGTTCAAATTTGAGGAGTGTAAGAAATAACATTATGATGAGGAATGCACATCAGACAGCTCTTCCATTTCTTGTATTTAAAAGTACTCATTGTCCTGAATTTTAAAACCTGATTTTCATTCATACATTTGTGAAACTTGTGTGCAAGATATTTTTGTGTGTGACTGTCTGGGCATAAGCATGTACTGAAGAGAATGTGGAGGGAGATGGAGAGAAAGATAGGCTGAGGGAGAAAGAGAGAAAGAGAGAGAGAGAGGTAGAGAGAGAGAGAGAGAGGGAGAGGGAAAGAGAGAGATGCAGGGAAAAAGAGGCGGATGAGACGGAGAGAGAGAGAGAGAGAGAGAGAGAGAGAGAGAGAGAGAGAGAGAGAGAGAGAGAGAGAGAGAGAGAGAGAGAGAGAGAGAGAGAGAGAGAGAGAGAGAGAGGGAGAGAGAGAGAGGGAGAGAGAGAGAGAGAGAGAGAGGGAGAGAAGGAGAGAGGGAGATAGAGATAGAGAGAGAGAGAGAGAGAGATCAGTATTAGAATCATGTGGCGCTGTGTTCTTTGTATTATTGTAAAACGCTTTGAACAATTTTTTGGTGGAAAATTTGCTCTATAAGTAACATTGGTTATTGTTATTATTGTTTATATTTGATATTTGTGATCTCTCCAGCCTTCATGATGGGCGTAGGATCTTTCATTAACGCATTCCTGTCGGGAGACTATGCCTACTACATTGCTGGTGTTGTCTCATTTATCATAGGTCAGTATACAGCGGAAAGTCACGTGTCCTTGGCAACCTTTTCAACTATTCAAAACCAAAAAATCAAAATATTTCAGAAGAAACCCCCCCTCCCCCCAAAAAAAAGAAAAAAAAGTGTTTCTTTCTTTTTAAAATTGTTCCTACGATGTGTATCTTTTCTGGCTTTTCTCAACATTTAGAATTTGAATTTTGACAAAATATTACTGGAGAACATACGACTGATACCACAGATTAAGAATTGACCTCAATTTTTATAAAAATTAATTTTTGGTTGAGTTTATGTGAATATCTAGGCAACTTTAAAAATTGTTTTATTTTATTTTATTAAGAAATAGGAAATTTCTTGCTATGAAAAAGTTAATGTCCATTGGTGGGTGATGAAAGACTTTCATCTCTTTCCAAGAAGACTATAAGCTTTATTCCATCTGTTCTGAGATCATGAATTCGGATAACAGCTAGCAATTCCTGAAATCTTTAATTAACGCACTTTATGTAAGTTCAATTGTAGGCCTATACATTTATTTATCATTTATTGCGTGGGTAAAACAAAACTTAATCTGCTTGATGTTTAGTGTTTTGTCAAATAGTTTGTAAAAAAGAAGCAGATTCTTTGGTTTGAGAGGAAGCACTTTTCCATCTAGACGAAACATGGGCAATTAACTATGATCACGATGTTACAATTATCAATCCATAAACTTTGCCTTTGTGATGGATGATTAAGCTTTATATGAAAAGAAATCTTTGGCATTTTTATGACCTTATTGTGTTGCGAGTGCTGTAAAATTCATAGAATGAAAGACTAAAAAAAAAGAAAAGAAATCTTTATCTTTTTCAAATGGGCTTTTGGACTAGTTTCAAAACTGTTTTTTATATTTGTTTTCCTTGTCAGGTCTCAGAATAGTTTTCTGCTTTTTTACTGGTCAGGTTTGGGTTTTTAGAATATTTTTGTTTTTTTTCCTCGTCAGGCGTGGGTTTTTTTAGCCTACCAGAGTTTCAGACTATTTTTGGGGTTTTTTCTTGGTCAAGTTTGGGTTTCAGAATATTTTTACGTTTTTTCCCTCGTCAGGCTTGGGTCTTTCTAGCCTACCAGAGTTTCAGACTATTTTTTTGCTTTTTTCTCTCGTCAGGTTTGGGTTTCGGAGCCTGCCAGAGTTTCAGAATATTTTTTTTTTCCTTATCAGGTTTGGATTTCAGAATATTTTTTGTCTTTTTTCTTGGCCAGAGTTTTAGAATATTTTAAAACGTTTTTTTCCTCTCCAGGTTTGGGTTTCGGAGCCTACCAGTCGGTGGACTTTGCCCTGGTGATGGACGTGCTGGCCGAGGACGCGGACAAGGCCAAGGACATCGCTGTCTGGCATCAGGCCCTGGTCCTGCCGCAGGCTCTGGCCACGCCCGTCGGGGGCGTCGTCCTTGACCTATTCGAGAAGGTCAACTGCCACATAGGGCTCGGCTACATCATCCTGTTCATCCTCACCTCCTTCTACGCTTTCTTGAGCGGAGCGCTGGTCTTCAAGATCCGCCGAGCTCGCTGAGGACAAGAGAAGAAGAATGATGATGATCTCGTGGATGGCTCTGATGGATGTGGGCCCGAAACTTTTGAGAAAACTTGCCATAGCTTGTTCCAGTGATACAGTTCCGCTCTTGCCTGATTGAGAAAAAGTGACGCTGAAAATGATGAAAGTCAGTGTTTTTCTAGTATTTAAATACAATTTAGCGTCAAAAGTAGGTTGGGTTTTTTTTAAAAAGAGACTTTCAGATTTTTATTATTGAAACAGCATTTGATGACCAAAGGCAGCATTACAAGTGTTTAAAGCTCTCTTGTTTTGGTTAGGTAATCACAAGGATAATTTTCAAATTTATTCACTTTAATGTTCAGCACAAACGAATGTTTATGGTACTTTTTATAACTCAATTTCAGTACCAATTGAAGCTTTTTCCCTTTTAGAAAATGAGCACCGGGAAAACCATGAAAGCACTTGTAATGTCTTTTGACCAAACACAAACTAAAGTCAGCTCATATTTTGTGTTTCAATTTTTTTAGTCATCTCCAGTCACTTTTTTTACATAACAGGCATGGGCTATTTAATTGTTATGCAGTGTCATCCTTTGTGATTGCTGTAAAGTCCGTCGGGCCTGGTATCTAGCTGAGGAGCAAGGAGATAAACAAAGGCCAACCGTTATGTCCTTCAAGCCCCTCTCATTTTTTCCGAATTACTTCACTGATGAGGTACACTATATCAGTAGATGTCTTGTTTATGAACGTATTATCCAGCTAAGGTGAATGAATCCTTCAGCATATTTTGGCAAATCATACTTAATTAAGTAATTTAAAAAATTAACACTTTGTCATGGTTTTAGATCCTGCATTTAAAATACATTTGTTTTAAGTTATATTCTCACTTGCAGATCTTGGAATTTTATCATACTAATGTCATGAGTATGTCATGATTGTACATCCCACTAAGAGAAATGTTTCTTTGTAAATGTTGTCCTCACGTGACCTCTTCCTATACTTTGAAACCAAAGTGTACACTGGTGGTAGCTATTTGCATGTCTTTATTTATTGAGGTGAATTATTCCCACTGGTAAAACCAAAACCATTGTTTTCGCTTATGGATTTGATCTTAATAAGGAATTGCTTGAAGGGAAGAAGGGGGGG